AAAATATCAAAATTGAAACTACTGCGACAACTACATCCTAGATGCCCTTGAGGTAAGATAAAACATACCAAAAATTCATTTCAAAGTGCTTTTGAACTATAATAAAAATGAAATAAACTATAAATAAATTATATATATAATATATAAAGTAAATTTTCTCCAAGATCAAATGTTGATGTACCCAGTTTGACCATGCTGAAATGTATAGTATGTTTTATAAGACGCATTCTTCTTCGGTCTACCTGCAGGTCTATAGCTAGACTGGCTAACATCCAGGAGGCCGTCCTGCGCAAAGCAGCCGAGACCACAGAGGTCTTACTGGACCATGAGAAGGAGTGGAAACTGGGTAAGTGCATCCTGCGCTTCCCCGAGATCCTGCAGAAGATCACAGACGACCTGCTGCTTCACACACTGTGCGACTACCTGTACGAGCTGGCCACCACCTTCACCGAGTTTTACGACAGCTGCTACTGCGTGGAGAAGGACCGGCAGACAGGTGCGTACCCTGAAGCCCCACACGAGACTACAAATAAGTGTAGCTCGCCCAGAAAGAAAAACCGATTCGGTGCCCAAAACCTTGAGGCTTTAATGGTTAAATAAATCCATGTACTTGGAGCATATGCTCTTTAGAAGATGTGTCAGGAGTGTAATTGGTCCAGAAATGTGTTTAGTTTCAACTCATAGGCCAGTATAAACTTTCATACTGCAGTGAAAGATGCTAAATAGAGGAGTTTTAATTTAGATGTAATAATTTACTGTTGCAATAAGTTTTAACGAACAACAAATGATTCATTTGAACTGGGAAATCTAATATGGGATTATATCAGATAGAAAGTCCCTTAGTTGTTTTTTTTCTCCCATTAAAAACTAGTTACTTAAGCACCGTCTCTTGAATCGTACAGCTTCTTTAGTCTTTTAATATAGACTAATGAAATGAGCTGTACTGTGAGTTTGATAAAGACTGCTGCTTGTGGGACTTTTGGGTTTCCTTTTGTTTATGCACAGTACTTTAAAAGCTCATGGATTTAAAGGTAAAATGTCATTTCCGTGGCATCAAATGCAAAAATAATTTTCAAATTTCCCGAATAGTGTATTTTGGGTGACTAATGTGCGTCACTTTAAACTAGTAAATTAAAAATATTAAATTAAAAAAAAATATTAAAGTATTAAAACAACAGAAATTAGTTGGTCACATGAGGGCACTGAAAATATAAAACTAAACTAAAACTGCACATTGATGCATTTTTGCATAAAGTCTTCCTCAGATTGGGTCAGAAAGCAAAAATGTTACAGGTGTAAGTGCAATTAACTGCTCTGTTTCACAATAAAAAAATATTAAAATATTAAAAAAAAAAATTAAAAATTTAACGTCCAATTGTAATCAGCTAAAACTATAATAACGTCTTTGTAACTATTTTTATTGGAAGTGCATTAGACCATTTTTTTCTAAAGTTTAGAAAGTAAACTTTCTAAAATTAAATTAAATTAAATTAAAGGATTAGTTCACTTAAAAAAAAAAATTGCTGATAATTTACTCACCCCCATGTCATCCAAGATGTCCACGTCTTTCTTTCTTCAGTCGAAAAGAAATTAAAGTTTTTGATGAAAACATTCCAGGATTTTCTCCATATAATGGACTTCAATGGGAACCAAACGGTTCAAGATCCAAAAGACAGTTTCAGTGCAGCTTTAAACGACACCAGACGATGAATAAGGGTCTTATCAAGCGAAACGAGCGGTCATTTAAAAAATAAATAAAAAGTTTAAGTTTTATAAGCACAAATGCTCGCCTTGCTCTGTTCTGTGATGCGCGTACGTGACTCCTGTTCGAATTCGTTCGTCAAAATGAACGAATCTTTTTTCGAGTTACTTCGTTCATTCAACTGAAGCTGCACTGAAACTGTCTTTTGGACCTTGAACCGTTTGGTCCCCATTGAAGTCCATTATATGGAGAAAAATCCTGGAATGTTTTCATCTAAAACCTTAATTTCTTTTCGACTGAAGAAAGAAAGACATGGATATCTTGGATGACATGGGGGTGAGTTAATTATCAGCAAAAGTTTTTTTTAAAGTGAACTAATCCTTTAATGACATTTTAATTTCCTAAATGACCAAGACGTGACTAAACGTCATTGATTTGATTGAAATGAACCTTTGAAAATGGCCTGTTTGACTAATGACGGCTCTAAATCATTCTCCTCAGGGGAAGTGGTCAAAGTCAACATGTGGCGGATGCTCCTCTGTGAAGCCACCGCAGCTGTGATGGCCAAAGGCTTTGACATTCTGGGTATCAATCCAGTTCAGAGGATGTGAATTGATCAATGCCTTCCTCCTCTGAACTCAAGACCTTTCTCTCAAAAACACACATGTCCCGACGGATTCTTATGGTATGCCAAATAAAAGTCATTCGACTGTCCTGAAAAAAAAAAAACTTTGATTTTCCTGGTCATTTCTCCTCACTTAAATGTCAGATTAGCCAACTGGACCCTGAAAACTGCCAAAAAGTCAATCTGTTTAACCTTTCCCTTCTATATAACAAGTCTGAATCTTATTTTTGTCTAGCAGGAAGAATTTTGGTTCACCTAAAGCAGGGGTGTCCAAACTCAGTCCTGGAGGGCCTGTGTCCGAAATCACACTATTTAAGGGGAAAGCCGTTTGTAGTGGTGTCCAAAACCATAGTGGATGTCACCGAGTGCACTCATTCAATCCCACAATGCACCGAAATAACGAGTGTTAAACAATGGCACTGAGTCACGTGCCGAATGAATTCCCACATCTGAACTGATGGCGACCGGCGGCACAGCTGAATCCTCCGTTTATCCGGTTTCCAAAACCGCTGGTCCAATGGAATATATTATAGGAATAAATTCCTTTTTAGTTAATTATTAAAAAACTGTTTAATTAAAGGAGTAGTTCACTTTAAAAAAAACTTTTGCTGATAATTTACTCACCCCCATGTCATCCAAGATGTCCATGTCTTTCTTTCTTCAGTCGAAAAGAAATTAAGGTTTTTGATGAAAACATTCCAGGATTTTCTCCATATAATGGACTTCAATGGGGTCCAAACGGTTCAAGGTCCAAATGAGAGTTTCAGTGGGCTTTAAACGATTCCAGACGATGAATAAAAGTCTTATCAAGCGAAACGATCGCTCATTTAAAAAATAAAGTTTTATAAGCACGAATGCTCGCCTTGCTCTGTCCGTGACTCTCCTGTTCGAACTCGTTCATCAAAATGAACAAATATTTTTTCGTGTCATTTGGTTCATTCAACGAACGAATTGACTTGGAAAAAGATTTGTTCATTTTGATGAACGAGTTCGAACAGGAGAGTCACGAACGCGCATCACAGAACAGAGCAAGGTGAGCGTTTGAGCTTATAAAACTTAAACTTCGTTATTTATTTATTAAATGAGCGATCGTTTCGCTTGATAAGACCCTTATTCATCGTCTGGAATCGTTTAAAGCCCTTTGAATAGTTTGCAGTTTGCACTGAAAGTGTCTTTTGGACCTTGAACCGTTTGGTCCCCATTGAAGTCCATTATATGGAGAAAATCCTGGAATGTTTTCATCAAAAACCTTAATTTCTTGTCGACATCTTGGATGTCATGGGGGTGAGTAAATTAACAACAAATTTTTTTTAGAAGAAGTAGAAAATTGAACTACTCCTTTAAGGTTTCCATGACTAAATCTTATCATTACTACTGGAGCGCAAGTTTGCTAAATTTCAAGTTCTGATTTCAGACACAGGCCTGGAGATTTTAGCTCCAACTTCAACACACTTGCCTGGAAGTTTCTAGTATGACCTTGATTAGCTGGTTCAGGTGTGTTTAATTGGGGTTAGAGCTGGATTGGACACCACTGACCTAAAGATTTTACAACAGTTTTGCTTACTTTTTATTCCACAATATGCATCAAATATTGTTCTCCTTTGAATTGTAATGCAATAAATCAATTTTGTAATGTGTTTGTAGTCACTGGTGTATTCCTGTATCTGCTCTCGCTCGAGACTTTCGGCGCATTATTCAGTTTGAGATTTCATTTAAGATTTTTAATAGAGTTTTTTTCTCTTGCCATTAGGATTTAATTAGTTGTGGGTGATAAATGCAGCGTCCGTCCGCACCTGATAATCTGGATGAAGATTAAGAGGAATGATTTAATTCACTCGCAGGGTCAGTGGTTATTTACTCGTTGGATGTTTTGCAACTGGGATTTTCGTGATAATTTCAGGTCTGAGATCAGAATTAAAGATCTGGACACTTAATTACCTGGTCGAGTCTTTGGCGAATCCATTAGTTTTCTTCTAAGCTACTCTAAGGGCATCCGTATACTTCATGGGTTTATTTTCAACTCCGATCGTTCGAATTTTACAAGGTGGCTAGTTCGTACGAATTCATAGGACCTCACTTGTATGATTTTGCAAAAATTGTACGAATTCGTACATATTTTAAGAATTGCCCAATTCGTATGCATTTAAATAAACCTACACTGTAAAAAATATTGCTGGTTTAACTTAAAAAAAAATAAGTAACTGGGTTGCCTTTAATTTTAAGTTCATTGAAATGGAAAAATTGAGTTGATACAATGAAGAAGAGTCATTTAATCACCATAAACTCAAAATATTATGTTATCTGAACTACATAAATTATCTAAGTTGATTTTACAAGAGGAAAAATGTTGTGATTACAAATCATGAAAATATTTTTTACAGTGTACCTAACGGGTTTAGACAAATAGCATGAAATCGAACGAATTAGCCACCTTTTACTCATTCGAATTGGTCGTGAGATAGCAAAGTCATATAGCGTACACCTATAGGACGGGTGTAGGGTGAGTAAATCATTGATATAATTTTCATTTTTGGGTAAACTAACCCTTTAAAGATCAGATAAGAATTAAAATGGTGTATTACAATGTAAAAAACAGTCAGGCTAGTGATCGACCAATCAGAATCAAGTATTCCATAAAGTCATCAGCGCATCAAGAAATAAGTCAAGCCATGGTGTACTTCAATGATATATATATTTAAATAAAAATCTGTAACATATCAACAATACCATCACAAAAATATAAGTTATATTAGAAATTCCTCTTATAAAGTCAATATTTATAGTATAATTGTAATATTTTGATTTGATCAAATGTGTAGCATCACAATTTGATCGTATAGGTCATGATAAAACTAAAATGCAATATAATTATAATGCGCCAGGTCATGTATATCACCAAATGGTCAATCAGATAATCTCACAAATAAATTAAAGCGATGGCAACTGAAAAACACGCCTGTGAATCAGAGTCTCGGCTTCTGTACACAGTGTTTCTCATGTTTATGATGAAAGTGTGATATAGTTCCAGATCAAGTCACCCAGTCCATCCTTTAATGCTTAAGAACAGCAGGATTTGAGAGTTTGAGAGTCCCGTGGAACGGTCCTTTAAATGGGATGAGACATTTCATTACTCTGACACTCTCTCTTGTCAGTCTTGATAATGCCAAGTGCACCGGCTCTCCTGGTACACCTCATCACACTGCTGTTGTTCAGTGTCTGCAGGCTGAATTGTCTTTGCATTGAAATGGTCCCGTAAGTCTCTACGGTACCGAGAGTCTGGAACAACTTTCATCATCTCAGAGCTTTGGACCCCATTCGCTCGCTCACACTCACTTTATTTCTTTGTTTTTCGAGCCCACTCGTAGCTCTGGGATTGGAAAGCTGTCTGAGGTTTAATGGATTACTCCTTAGTATGCTTTGAGTCTTTTGTTTTGTGTCTAAAAGAGTCTCTCATGGCCATCAACACAGATGATACCTGGTGTCCTCCGACTTTATGGTGCCATTCTGGAGATCGACCTCTGATGAAAGAGAAAAGAGTGAAAAGTCAATATAGGGGTTCATTTCGCGTCATAACGTAAACCGAAGCTTTAAATGAGTAGTTCACTTTAAAAAAAACTTTTGCTGATAATTTACTCACCCCCATGTCATCCAAGATGTCCATGTCATTCTTTCTTCAGTCGAAAAGAAATTACAGGATTTTTCTTCATATAATGGACTTCAATGGGGTCCAAACGGTTCAAGGTCCAAATGAGAGTTTCAGTGCAGCTTCAACGGGCTTTAAAAGACGATGAATAAGGGTCTTATCTAGCGAAACCAAAAAATTACGTTTTATAAGCTCAAATGCTCGTCTTGCTCTGTTCTGTGATGCGCGTTCGTGACTCTCCTGTTCAAAATGAACGAATATTTTTTCCGAGTCAATTTGTTCATTGAATCAACCAAATGACTCGAAAAAAGATTCGTTGAGTCCGAACAGGAGAGTCACGAACGCTCATCACAGAATAGAGCAAGGCGAGCTTTTTACCTTATAAAACTTAAACTTTATTTATTTTTTTAAATGAACGATTGTTTTGCTTGATAAGACCCTTATTCATCGTCTGGTGTCGTTTAAAGCCCTTTGAACAGTTTGCACTGAAACTGTCTTTTGGACCTTGAACCGTTTGGACCCCATTGAAGTCCATTATATGGAGAAAATCTTGGAATGTTTGGAATTTCTTTTCGACTGAAGAAAGAATGACATGAACATCTTGGATGACATGGGGGCGAGTAAATTATCAGCAAAAGTTTTTTATAAAAACTTTATAGCTCTTAATCATGTAATTGTGGACAAATGTGGGCAGGTGTGATCCTAATTTTTATTTATTATAAATGTTATATCACTGTCTTCGATAAAGTTTTGTCTATCCATTTGTGGGTATTTTTGAATTTATTTACTTCAAAAAGTACCATATTTTCTGTGTAAAATAAATTATGCTTATTTTTATGCTTTTTTTATTTATTTTTTTAACTACATTAAAATATCATTCCAATAAGTTCTTAGATCTAAAACTGTGTGTGTTCAGGAGGAAAAGTAGCCAAGTCTTGTACCGCTCAGATAAAGGGAAGTATTTTTAAAAAATAAATCAAAACTATTTTGCCCACATTTGTCCAGAATATGGTTTTAAGGTTATACAAAAAAAAAAAAAAAACCGTTGAAAAAAAAATAAAAAATAAATTTTTGGTCAAACCGCCCAGCAACACGTAATACGCATGTGCACTGTGTGATGACGTCACTAATTTGTCAAATTCCCATTTAAACGATAATAGTATTGTTTTAAAAAAAAACGTGCACTTTGAAACACGTTTTCAAAACACACCCAACCCACCAATCAATATTCGACAATATAATGCTAACTTTGTTTTGACAGGACAAATACATGCTGCAGTCACAATAACGTATAGTGTCTCCCTTCACCTGCACTCTCAAATATGCCAGCTAGACAAGTTCCAGCCGGCGGAGGTAATATAATACGTCTCAATGATTGTGCCGCATGTTTGCGCTGTCACATCACATCCCCAGGAACGCATCTCAATTTTCAATGACATACAGTTTTCTGTATTACATTCCTGTGTTTCATTGAGTCAACCCTACAATATGAATCTATAGGGGCACTTGTAGACCAGCAGGGAGCAAATTGATGGTAAAAGTAACGAAATCTTTGAGCCAACCATAAATTTGTAGCCTGAAATACACACCTCGTGTCGGTCCGGCAGAGGTGCGTGACTCTTGACTTTTTCGACCCCAGCGGCTCGATTAAAAAGAAGCTGCAGAAAACTTGCGCCCGTACTCCTCTGACAGCCACAGCGGCGTGCTCGACCGAGGTGGAGGACACAAACATAGACCCCGTGGGATGATCCGTTTGCCACGTCCTGCGGGAACAGAAGGAAAAGTTGTAATTGAAAGATCCTGTAGGGCGACAGTGCAGGCGCATTGATATATGTGGGGTGGCTGGATTACAGCCGTGGCAGCGGTTAACGGGATTACACGAGCATGCCATGACGTGCCGTTGTTAAGGGATTTACTCGTTACTGTGCTAATTTGTCACCGAATTTGCAAAATGAAATCCAGGATGGGACCCGTGTTAAGTTTCAATTTTCTGCTGAGAGGTTCACCTATTATCATTCCAGCAAAGGTATTTTAGACATCAGTATAATTTGTCCCAGATGCTAATGCAGGGAATTATGCAAATGTGAAACACCTTTGAATATGAAGAGCAAAGCTCATTCCGTGAGCGTCGTTCCATTTCAAAGTACTTTATTGCCTTTGGGTGATAAGCCTCGAGTTCGGTTGAACGTTTGACCTTCTAAATATTGCTAAGTTTTCAATTGTAATAGTTTTCAATTTCCCCTCAGTTATTGAATTTTAACGACGGGAAAAATAGTCCCTAATCAAAAAAACTTTTGCTGATAATTTACTCACCCCCATGTCATCCAAGATGTCCACGTCTTTCTTTCTTCAGTCGAAAAGAAGGTTTTTGATGAAAACATTCCATTCCGACTTCAATGGGAACCAAACGAATCTTTTCCCGAGTCAACTCGTTCATTTCGTTTGTTGAATGAACCAAATGACACGAAAAAAGATTCGTTCATTTTGATAAACGAGTTTTGAAAAGAGCAAGGCGAGCATTTGAGCTTATAAAACTTAAACTTTGTTATTTATTTATTAAATGAGCGATCGTTTCGCTTGATAAAACCCTTATTCATCGTCTGGAATCGTTTAAAGTCCTTTGAACAGTTTGCACTGAAACTCTCATTCGGACCTTGAACCGTTTGGTTCCCATTGAAGTCCATTATATGGAGAAAAATCCTGGAATGTTTTCATCAAAAACCTTAATTTCTCAACTGAAGAAAGAAAAACATGGACATCTTGGATGACACGGGGGCGAGTAAATTATCAGCAAAAGTTTTTTTAAAAGTGAACTACTCCTGTAATGAGTAATAGGTGTGCTTTGGTCATGACGTGCAATAAACTAATTAGAGTTAATTTACATGGTGGACTTTGCGAGCGGAAAACTGAACGCTTCTCTAGCGAGGAAACAATCGCGAGGAGACCATCTATGCGACTAAGTGTACGTGGACCCGCACATTACTAAAACGCTATTTAAATAAAAAACAAATACAGCGCCATTTGACTATTTCAGTTGCCTGAAAATAGAAAGACGCCAACAATGCGACCGTACACACCTCGTTTTCAGACCAGCACGGCCATTGGCGCAAATGCATTTGCTGTTTAAACAACTTAAAAATGATAATTGCGTCAGGCTGAAACTAGCCAAACACACTTGTCGAGTAACTCTTTACCGTAACAGAACATGTTGTAGTGGTGGTCGGGCCCCTGCAGCCTGGAGTATGTAATGGTACACGTCTGCGTCCTTGTCCAGAGTCTCCACCACCTCGCTGTGCAAGAGGTCTCTCTGCCACTGACTCTGTTCTCGTAACACGTGGTGGAAGACTTCCTGTTGCGGAGCGTCCAATTCTGTCGTTCCTCTCCACAGCCGCAAAGGGTAACCGTCCTCCACCTTCAAAAATCACATCAGAGTCATCACCTTCTTATCTTGGTTTGCAGGACGTTTATAAAGAGGAATTGCAAGTGCAAACGGAAACTACGTGTTTGATCGCAACTGATTATGACTTCCTTTGTGCGCATAATATATTTATGCCTGGTTCAGATTACACGATTTTTTTTGTCTGTTACGATAGTCACTGTTTCAGATTACGCGATTTTGACTCCTAAAATCTTGTCGTGTCGTGGACAAGACACGTCAGACTACACGTTGCTTCCTGACATATACTGATCTCATGAAGTAGCGTGTGTATGACACGCCAATTCGTATTTCCAATTTTAGCGTGCTATCAACACGCATAATCGCTTTTCAGCGCGTTTATGAACGCCGTTGACTTAACGTTATTACTGTATATATAAATATATGACTTACCTCAACCCCGTCCCTAAACCTAACCGTCACTGGGGTTAATGGCATTTATGAGTGTTCCCTTACCATCCTAGGGAAAACAAAAAACAGCTCCCTAGATGTAGATGTACATTTTGCTTTGTTTTAGTTGGACATTTGACGGCGTGTACGGACACGCGGAATGACACGGATTTTAATGGCGTAGACATACACGCGGATAGCTCAAAATGCGTCGAGATTACACGCCATTTGACTCGAAATTGGCGTGTATGATTACGCAAAAGTCATGATGTCATGTTGCCTGACAAGTCTTTGACGGCGCGCGTGATGTGATCGAGAAGGCGAAACTAGTAGCGAGTGACTTCCGTAAAAAAACAACGGATGAAGCGGCGAGTGTTGTGTTGGCCGTCCTGTGTTCAGAAAAAGGAAAAAAAAAGAAAGAAAACCCGACAATGGACACGTTCCCGGATTGCGAATCCACAAATCCTCCAAAGAGAACTTGAGGTAAAATATTGTTTTCTTACTTTTAGTTTTAACGTTAGCACCATCGTCTCTCTTTCGTTTCGCCATTTTTGAAAGTTGCGTACGGAAAAGCTTCTGTGCTCCTATTGGTCAACCTCATACATGTGACGCATGCTTGTCTTTTTGTCGTGATGTCGTGAAGTAGGTTGTCGCCCGCTATGACACACTATACGAGATGATACGATTGATTCTTGCGTCCCGACACTCGTTGTTGTATACGAATCTCCACGACACCCTACATCAAACGGATCGTGCCAAAATCCCGCTAAAATCGTGTAACGTAGACGTAGAGCAAATAAACACTTTCAGGTCACGGCATATATACATATATATATATCCGCGTGTCATCTTTGCCTCCTCCACTTTCGATTCCGACCAACCTTATGCTTCCAGAGCCAGTCGTTTCAAAGAAATCATCGCGAGTTTTTAACGTACACCATTGACTGTTCGGAAAATGACGAGGGGAAGGTTTTCCGGCAAGACGAATGGACGAGGGGATAATATACCTAAATAGAAAACGGCTCTTAAAACACGATCACCCACCAGAATGGTCTTATAAAATAATCATGAGTTACAATTTGCAAGTATTTGTATTTTAAGGGATTGAAAAAATAATAATTTTTAAAATTCTTAAATATAACTTTAGAATATAATGCTCAAATGAGCAATTGTCGATTAAAAGAGTGTATAGACGCTTATACAACAAAGTTATGGAAATTAATATGACTACTTTACCAACTTATAGTTGTTAAAATGCATACGTTTTATGTTAGAAATGACTGTCCGAAACACAGTGAGTAGAAATTTTCAGGTGTCCGGAACACCGTGAGTCCTCATGGTAATCCGGACACTGCGTCTCTCGGCAGTTTTTTCAAGATTTCTCTAAAATGATTAGCTCAAAATGTGTCAAACAAACTTTGAAACGTGTGGAAGGCATGTCCCCAGAGACAGACGAGCAATCAATCAGGTTTATCTTTCAGCAGGTTGATATCTTAAAGGACGTTTTACTGTGCAAAGTGTCCAGAATACAATGAGTCTACGTTAATCTGAACCAGGCATTAGACGACTTTCTCTAGAGGCGGGAATGCGAGTAGAGTCTAATTTGGATCTCTAAACCCGATATTAGGATGTAAGTTGGAGGAGCACATACAAACCTTTTTATTCGCCACATCCACATGATCACAGCTCGAACAGGAGTTCCACCTTTTAGACTTGTCTCTGACCTCCTTCAAATGTTTTTGTGTGAGTAGAAACAGCCTGGCACGGTCTGGAAGTTCATTTTCTCCACAGTGAGACACAGAACTTAGACCTGCATCATTTTGCTGCGAATCTTCGGTAAAGCTGCCGGCTCCCTGCTCTTCCCAGTATTTCGGGATCTGTATTGATTACAGATATAAATGTTATATGTTTATGCTTGCATATATAATTTCCCAGCCCCTTAAGAAGCTTTGGTATAGGTTTGACTAGTCTAGTAACCATTGTGAGGGACCCCTTTAAAGGAGAAGTTCACTTTTAAAAAAAAACTTTTGCTGATAATTTCCTCACCCCCATGTCATCCAAGATGTCCACGTCTGTCTTTCTTCAGTCGAAAAGAAATTAAGGTTTTTGATGAAAACATTCCAGGATTTTTCTCCATATAATGGACTTCAATGGGGTCCAAACAGTTCAAGGTCCAAATGAGAGTTTCAGTGCAAACTCCAAACTGTTCAAAGGGCTTTAAACGATTCCAGATGATGAATAAGAATCTTATCAAGCGAAACGAGCGACCATTTAATAAATAAATAACAAAGTTTAAGTTTTATAAGCTCAAATGCTCGTCTTGCTCTGTTCTGTGATGCGCGTTCGTGACTCTCCTGTTCGAACTCGTTTATCAAAATGAACGAATCTTTTTTCATGTCATTTGGTTCATTCAAAGAACGAAATGAACGAGTTGACTCGGGAAAAGATTTGTTCATTTTGGCAACCATTTGAGCTTATAAAACTTAAACTTTGTTATTTTTTTTTTAAAATGGCCGATCGTTTCGCTTGATAAGACCCTTATTCATCGTCTGGAATCGTTTAAACAATTTGCACTGAAACTCTCATTTGGACCTTGAACCGTTTGGACCCCATTGAAGTCCATTATATGGAGAAAAATCCTGGAATGCTTTCATCAAAAACCTTAATTTCTTTCCGACTGAAGAAAGAATGACATGGACATCTTGGATGACACGGGGGTGAGTAAACTATCAGCAAAAACTGTTGCAGTAGTTAAATAAAAATAAGTAGCAGTTTTTGTTTTTCCAAAAATACATATATAATAATTTTACAATAATTTTACAAAAATACAATAATTTTCTTCTTATTAAAAATGTGGCACATTAATTTCAGCTGAATGAATAATTAAATATTTTTGATAACTAAATGCAAGTCATATACAGAATAAATACAGAATAACTAATCAAATAAATATTTCAATACATATAAAATAATTAAATGCATATTTAAATAAATATAAAAATACAGGAAAGGAAGTGTGTGTATGTGTATTTTGTAATACCCTAGTTTGGAACTTTTTTTCCCCTTATGACACCTGAGATTAAAAATCAACAACAAAAAACAATTGTGCAAGAGAGCTCTAAGCCCATAGATGATTGCATGCAGCTGGAAGTGCTGATAGTCATTAGTACTGAACTCAATGCACATGATGCTTTGTACCTGGAAAAGGCGAGAGCATTCAGAAACCATATGAGACAGTCCCTGTGTTGCAGCCAGGTTCTCGCTCAGATCTCTCTGGTCCGGCCTCCCCAAGCTGTATTTCCTTTGTCTGGACCTGTGTCCAAAAGCAGAAATAGCACACGTTTCACACAGAGCTGCCTTTCAAATTAGTAACACTCACCTATATGCTTTAACAGGGACCCAGAGGGAAAAGGGGTATTGATATGCTATTAGACACTTGGGTTTCTTATGTTTTCTGTCTAGAGAATTTGAAATGAGGAATGGGTTTGCTGACACAAAGACTGCATTTCACAACACATTTCGTCAATTCGTTTGTTTTCTAGTGGTTCTTCTTATAGCAGCGCACTGAATCTGCTCAGCGGGAGGGCGAAGAGAGCGCGTTGGCTCCGTGGCAGCTGGCTTGCAGAAATAGGGGAGTTTCTTCAAGTCAGCCTCTTGAATGCGTTTGCCCAGGCAGGAACGTGACGTAAGTGTCTCGCTTTCCAGAAAACCAACGAGTGTCTATAGCATCCCTATATACTTCAGAGCCAAAAGTATTAGATAACTTGTTGTGGGACACATGCCAAACATTAGTCCTTATCTTCTCCGAAATAAAGTTTGAGGGTGCAGATTTCTTCTAGAATCTATCGCCTCTCTCTCTCTCTCCTAGTTTCATTAACCAGATGAACTGTATTACAGATACAATATCTCCGTTATCTGTGAAATTAAAGCCAGATGTTGAATTGCGCCTGTTACATAAGCAGCTCTCCCACAAAACGGACCAAAAAATTCTGCCATACAAAAGATTAGATTTTTCGCCTGAAATTGATTGTAATATTACGAAAGAGTCTTAAAGAGAGTAGTTTTCACTTTAAAAAAAAAAAACTTTTGCTGATAATTTGTCTTTTTTTCTTCAGTCGAAAATAATTAAGGTTTTTGATGAAAACATTCCAGGATTTTTCTCTATAATGGACTTCAATGGGGACCAAACGGTTCAAGGTCCAAATGAGAGTTTCAGTGCAAACTGTTCAAAGGGCTTTTAAACGATTCCAGACGATGAGTAAAGGTCTTATCAAGCGAAACGATTGCTCAACAAAT